TATAATGCATATATATATATGCATATTCTAAATTTTTTTCTTTATATAGATTGAAGAGAGAAGAGAGATACATGTTAGATCTCTTAATAGGCTTATTTTGCAGCATAAAATAAGAAATGTATTATTAATATTTAAGAACGGCTCTCAAACTGCAACACACACACACAGAAATATATTATTTTCGCAAATTTTATAATCATAATAAGAGGTAAGAAATCATAATTTTATGCATTTTAATATTCATTTCATATATACATAATAAAGTTTTTGAGAACTTACCAATTTCCTGAATGCAATATATCAAAGCTTTCATTGATTTTTTCAAAGGGAAAATTATGTGTAATAAATTCATCAAGAATCAATTTTTTTGATAAATATTCTTCGACCAATTTCGGTATGCTTTGCTTTGATTTCCATCCTCCAAATGCAGTACCTTTCCACACTCGTCCTGTAACCAATTGGAATGGTCTAGTACTGATCTCCTGCCCAGCTGCAGCTACTCCTATTATTATGGAAACACCCCATCCTTTGTGGCAAGATTCCAATGCAGCCCTCTAAAAAATAAATTTTTTAGAATGGGACTATTATGTGGAACAAAATTTTTCAAACACATACCATAGTATTTACATTTCCAATGCATTCAAAAGTATAATCTAGTCCACCATCAGTCATCTCGATTAACACTTGTTGAATAGGTTTATTATAATTTTTAGGGTTGATAAATTCTGTACATCCAAAAATTTTAGCTGTAAATGAATACAATAATATTTATAAAATGTTATTATACTTAGTACAAAATCTTGAGGAAGAACAAGGAAAATGCAGATACATTTGGGCATTAATTTCTATAAAAAGTTCATTTTAGTTATTGTATTACACAATCTTGTTAAATTATTTACCTTGTTCAAATTTGGCTGGATTAATATCTATTCCAATGACACGAGATGCACCAGATTTCTTGCAACCAAATGCTACAGCAAGACCTACAGCTCCTAAACCCCATATAGCACAAGTACTTCCAGGCTCTACCTTTGCAGTATTTAAAGCTGCACCATAGCCTGTAGATATTCCACAGCCTAATAGGCAAACTTTGTCCAATGGTGCTATAGGATTAATCTATGATATTTGCAACAGTAATATATTGAGTTTTTGTTGTATTTTTTTTTAAAAGTATTTTTCTTTATTAAATATATATATATTATAAATACCTTTGCGAGAGAAATGTCAGCTACTACTGTATATTCAGAAAAGGTGGAACAGCCCATAAAATGTGCAATTGTTTGTCCTTTACATGTGAACCGAGATGTACCATCAGGCATTAAACCTTTACCCTGAGTTTCGCGGATTTTGCTGCATAAATTTGTTTTCAATGATTTACAGAATTTACAATTGTTACATTGGGGAATATAAAGTGGTATAACATGGTCACCTACAAATATTTATATAAATAACAGAATTATAAAGAAATTTTAACTAAATATAATGTAATCAACACATGGAATTCAAAATTGATTATGCTATAATTTATAATAGTTTATAAAAATTTTATAATGTTTTAATCAAGTTTACCAGACTGAAACTCGGTAACACCTTCTCCAACACTTTCTACAATGCCACTGCCTTCATGACCAAGTATACAAGGAAATATTCCTTCTGGATCTAATCCATTTAGAGTGTAAGCATCTGTATGACAAAGTGCTACAGCTACTATTTTAATTCGAACTTCATGTGCCTTTGGTGGTGCTACCTCGATTTCTTCTAAAGATAAAGGCTCCTTTTGTCTCCATGCTACTGCAGCTTTACATTTAATAACCTGAAATAATAAAATAAAATAATTCTTCTAATAGCTGTTTATATTAAATTATTA